ATGTGTGTTCTTTTCTGACACACCTGATGGAGTTCACCCAGTCTGTGGGTTCCTCCACTTTTTCAATGACCCCCAGCTGAGCCATCCGTTCAAGTTCCTTCTTTAATCTGGCTCTGAGTGGAGCAGGCACTCTCCTAGGTGCATGCACCACTGGCACAGCGTTATCCTCAAGTTGTAGGTGTAAGGTGATGCCCCATGTCCTTCAAAGACTGAAGAATATGTATTTATTATGTCTAAGCTTCCTTCTGGTGGTTTGTTTGATTACTTCCATGTTGTCCTTATTAATCTGATAGATCCTCTTTACTGGTCCTAGGTCCTCGGATGTTTCGTCTCCTAGAAGTGACTTGTGGCCGTTAGGCACAACGGTGAAACAAATGTTGTGCTGTTTGCCTTTTGTAGTCACTGTGAGTCTGCAACCGCCTTTTGTTTGTACTGGCTGGTTATTATAAGCCCTCAGAGGTGTGACTTTCTCTGTAAGTGTTTTAGGCTCCTCAGTCAGTGCCTTCAAGTCTTCTTCACTCATCAGGTTGGCTTTGGCCCCTTTATCAGTTTTAAATGTCACAGGTGTCCCATTCACCATCAGTGGAACCGTCCATTTATCTTCTGAGACGTGTGTACTCAAGGCTTCTTCTTGTGACACCATCTTAATAAATAAATTGTTGTTCTTAGCAAAGTTAATGTTCCAGATAAACCCAAGAGCTAAACTCAGTTCTGACTAGGAGAAACTCACTTAGAACACCTGTACTTCTACAATACTGTTACTAATAACACGTTGTATTATACACACACACACACACACACACACACCACCACCACCACCGCATACCCCATAAGCAGCAGCATAAAGCGTTAATTCAACTATTCAGTTTGTTGTTTTAAGGCACCAAATCAAGACAAGAGTCGTCTCAAGGCATTTCACACAGTAAACTTTCCAACTGAGCTCACAATTAGTAACATGTTTCCTGTATAAGGAACCCAGCAGGTTGCATCGAGTCACTGACTCGTGTCAGAGTCTTTAGAATAATCTTCATTCAAGTCGAATCTTACCACGAGACACCTCAGGGGGGCAGCAGAGAACTGCCTCTCAGATCAGTACTGGGTCATTTGTTCTGTTCTCCTGCGTCTGGTGTGTCTAAGTGTGTGTGTGTGTGTGTGTGTGTGTGTGTGTGTGTGTGTGTGTGTGTGTGTACATCACAGATAAGTCAATTTGGTTTAATTGGCTTTTGGTCAAAATACTACAGAAATCACCACGAATGAGCCACTGACTCTTGGTTAAGCTAGGTCTGATAGGGAGAATCCCTCATGTCCACTTCAAGATTAAAAGACAAAAACTGTTCATACACTAAAACAGAGCGGTCATGTCAATGTTAAATGAAATACATTCAAGAAGGTATTGAATTATTTAGTGATGGCTCTGTTTAAAACTGTTCTAATTTAAAACCTGTCGCAGTTCTGCATGTGCAGTTTACTCAGTTCTGCATGTGCAGTTTACTCAGTTCTGCATGTGCAGTTTACTCAGTTCTGCATGTGCAGTTTACTCAGTTCTGCATGTGCAGTTTACTCAGTTCTGCATGTGCAGTTTACTCAGTTCTGCATGTGCAGTTTACTCAGTTCTGCATGTGCAGTTTACTCAGTTGTGCCTCATGTCAGTTCAGAATTCAGTCAATCCGGTTTCTTCTCATTCATTCTGATCTTATGGAGGCAGCCCAATGAAATTATACATTATTGAGATTTGAGGAGTTAT